ATTGAGACAGGGTCTCCCTCTGTGGCAGAGACAGGTGGAGCTCTGTGAGATCGAGGCCAGCCTGAACTACATAGTGAGTTCCAGGCTGTGACTACAAGGAGAGCCTGCCTCAAAAAGACAAAAAGAAAAGAAAAGAAAAGAAAAGAAATCATTACTAAAAAAAAAAAAAATAGTATTGGGGACTGGAGAGATGGCCCAGTGGTTAAGAGCACTGGCTGTTCTTGCAGAAGACCTGGGTTCAAATCCCAGCACCTACATGGCAGCTAACAACCAACCATAACTACAGTTCCAGGGAATCCAACACCCTTTTCTGACCTCCGAGGGCACTGCACAACATGGGTGCACTTATACACATTCAGGTATAGCACTCATATACATAAAATAAATAAATAAAATAGTATTAATGAATATATGGCATTTCATGGCATAGAAATACTCTAATTTCTATTTAGCCATTCTACTGTTTGGGTTAGATCATTCAAGTTGTTTTAAACTTTTCTCCAAGTTGAGCTGGGAACTGAAGGATGAACAGCTAGATGGAGTGTGGGAGCTGGTTATTCAGGCAAAAATCAAGAGACCTGTAGTTTTGAAAATAAGAGATATTTATTATATTCTGATGTGCAGTAGGACAACTAAAGATGATGTTAGTATACCATATATTTCAAAAGAGCTGGAAGAAAATATTGTGAATGTTTTCACCACCAAGAATTTATAAGAAATAGGCTGATCTTGATTTGAACACATACAATTATACACATATCAAAACATTGCATAGTGCCCATAAATATGTGTAATTTGTATTTCAGTCTAAAAACTATTTTAATTTTAAAACTTGAAAAAAATGTAAAAACGTGAAAAATTAACATTAAAATGATAATAGTGGCTAGCACTTACTGAGAGCCAGTAATATTTTAAAATTTTCACAGATGCTAATATGTTCGGTTCTCACAGTGGCCCTTTGACGTTGGTATTGTCATCAGCCCCTTGTACATGTGAAGGTGTGAAGCACAGCAAGGCGAGTCAGCTACAGAAGAACACACAGTTGACACACCACAGTTTGGAAACGAGAGCAGTCAAATCTGACTCTGGGGGTCAGTAAATCAGAAAGGGAAACATGCTTCATTATGACTATCTGTTAAGAGCTTACTGGCCAGATCCTGTTAGTGCACTGCAAAATGTCTCTGTTTTCTACTTCATGTAATTTTGAGCAATAGAATCTATGAACTTCTCTTTTTCTGTCTTAGAAAGTTCAGTAATTTCAATAGTAATTTTCAAAGAGATGCTGAAGAAATGGATGGGGGCACAAGGCACATGGGACATGCTGGGAAAAGAGACAGTGAGGGACGGATGCAAGGTGGGAGATGGGGGAGGAGAAAAAAATTAAATTCCTACATTCAAAACTTGAAGATATTCTATGTCCTGCAGTAACAAATGTTTAGCCAAAGTTTAATTCTTGATATAAAAATGAATGAGAACATGCAAATTTGCTTTAATCTTTAATAAAGAGTCAAATGTGTAAACTGAGATGTGGAAGTTTTCTTTATCTGAAATTGATATTGGTTCCTGTGGCTGCCATGGGATGTGCCATACCTATTATTTTTCACTCTGCCCTGTGCTTTGCAGAAAGAGGAAGTTGCGTTTTGCCAAGTTGGCACTCCATCTTTAACAGTTACAGGCATTTGCACACAGAGCCTCGGTTTTGCTGTTCAGGAAGTCTGAAGAACAGGGCTCACAGCTAGAAAGGCAGACAGGGGTCAGGTCATAGAGAAGCTTCCAGTTCACACTGGAAATGGTGCAAAGGATTTGAGAAATGATAGAGAAATGGAGCCTGACTGGGACGTTAGCAAAGTCACTTTGGCTGCTGTGTAGTGGGACAGACTAAAGGCAATGTGGGAAGGAAATTCTATTGATAAGATGCTGCCAGTGATCCTGTGGAGTAACTCCGAGGGCTGACCTTAGATAGCACAGAGGGGATGGTAAGATCAGAGCCTCTTCGTTTCCAGGATACACTAGGGCTTGTAGACAAATAAATGTAGGAGGCTGGGAGAGAGTAGAGAGGAATCAGGGTGATTGTGACTACCTGTTTCTGGTTTGGAAGCTTGATAGAACAGGATGCTCGGGCAGGGGAAGGATAGAGGACCAGGAATCAGTGAGCAGATGGCATCCAATACCAAGATATATGAGAAAGGGGCCTGATTCCAGGATGCTGCTTCTGCCATTAGGAAGGTTGGGGCCTCATCTGCAGCGACCTAAGTGGGCAGCCAGAGCTAGACCGAACGAGGGTGTGGTTATTAGGGAGCCCACCCATGGAGCCACTGCTGCTAAACAAGAGCTGAGGCTTTTCCGGGGGAAGTGGAGTTGTGGTGGGGAAACTGAACAGATACCAGTCCAGCAGGGTCGAGCATGGGAAGCAAGGGAGGTAGGTCATGGGAGGAGGCAAGCTGAGCAGCGGCAGAAATGCTGAAGGACACAAATTGCTCAGCCAGAATCCCTGGACTTACTGGTGGGATGCTCTGCTAGACTGAGGTAGAGGCTGGAAAGAGTTGGAAACCTAGGACACAAATCAAGTCCCTCTGTGCCAAGAGGTCCATCAGGCTGACCACTGGGTGCTTTCTGATATGCTCACCAAAGTGATCTTGGTGTTCCACCAAAGATGAAGAACTTGACACCATGGTCTTTCTTATCTTTCCCTTACCACTGACATTTCGATTCTATAATGAGTTTTTTTTTTTTTCAGAGTCTCCCATATCCCCAGTTGGCCTGGAACTCACTGTGTAAACCAGGCTGGCCTCAGTCTCGCAGAGCAGGAAGCATAGAACTCACCAGTCCCATCTCTGTGACCCAAGCAATTCATATCACCTGGGAACATCAACTTGCCTAGGACATTCTAAGAGAGACTCTTTCAACTCAGCTACTCTATGGCTCCTTTCCATGACTCATTCAACATGTGTAAGCACATGTTGTGCATACAATTATGTCATTTTCTGATCCAAGTGAAAGCACGTGATGCAAGGTTATTTCCTGGCTTTGGGACTGATAAAGTCTTACAACTATATATAAACAACAAGGATTACATATTAAATCAATCACTTTGATTTTTAATTTTTTTATTTATTTTAATTTTATATGTATGAATATTTTGCCTACATGTATGTAAGTGTACCTATACATGTAATGCCTGTGGAGGCCAGAAGATGGTGTCAGATCCCCTGGAACTGGAGTTATAGATGTTTGTTAGCCATTGTGTGGGTGCTGGGAACTAATTCTGGGTCTTCTGCAAGACCACCCAGTGTTCTTGGGCACTGAACCAACTCTCCAGCCCCCAAATCACTTTGATTTAAAGGATAAAATTATGAGACTTACCATGTCATAACCATCATATGCTAGAGTTTGGTTATCCAGACTCCACCAATAAGACACAGTCTGAATTTGATTAAAAATCAACTAAGCATCATTTAAATTTTAGGAGAAAGATTTACATAGATGACTAAGGGTGCATTGTGGTAAGTGCTGCAACCCTGGAAGTAAATAGCGACCATCACTAGAAAAATGATTGGTGCAGCAGTTTCCACTTCCTCTTCCCACCTTCCCCAACTCTTACAATCCAGCTCTCAGAAACTGAATCATGGGTGTGAAGTCAGTTCCCTACGAAGTGAGAGAGTGGTTGTGGTATTTATCAATGGGGTGGGAGGCAGGGACAGTGGATGGAAAAAGAAGCATCAACTGTAATGTAAGATCGGTGCACTCCGTGTGGTATGGCTGTAGCTAGTTTTGTTTTACTTTTGAGACAGGGTCTCATGAACGCCAGGCTGGCCTCAAACTTGGTATGTAACTAAAGATGACCTTGCACTTCTGATTCTCACCCCCAGCTCAAAAGTGCTGAGATTAAAGGTATGCGCCACCACCCGGTTTTCCTGTGACATAGTTTCTAATGAAACAAATGATTATACCTCCTTTCTTTGGAATTAGTGGCAAATGGGAAGACACTTGGATGTCTCAGCCCCAGTAGAACCCACATTGCCCTTGATCTTACCTCACTACTTTCATTAGCAATCATCAGGCAGAATGGAAACAGCCTGTGGGCTCTAAAAAATACGACTGCAGACACTTAGAGAGCTCAGACTTCTAAGGTGTGGCCTTGCTTTGCTTCTGTCTGAAGCCCTCCACTAGTGCCTTGTTTCTAACACATCAACTCCAACTCCTCTGGAGAGGACTCAAAGCCCTTCCTGGTTTTGCCCCACCTCAATCTGGCTTCTCCATCCATATTTCCTCTGGTCATTCCACAGAACCCACAAAGTCATGAGTGTGACTTTGCAACAGCTGTCCCTTCATCTCCCACTTTATTGTGTGCATTCGGATCCTGTGTAGTTGGTAAGACCCTGTCAAGGTTCCATCTTGTCAGGAAGGCCTTCCCCATCTTCCTGCAGAAGGTCCCTCTCCCTCCTCAGGGTGCTTTGCGTGGGCACTTTTTCTTTCCTTTGAACTAACGTCCTGCAAGTGCTGTGATCCCTATGGATCACACGTTTCACCTGTGGTTTAAGATAAAACCCACTTAAAAGAGCTCAACCCTTTCTCATTATAAAGTGTGACACATACTTATTAATTGTGAAATAATTAAATAATAAAGTAGGGGAAAGAAAAAGCAAGTTGGCAGAGAGAGTAGGCTCTTAGGTCACTAAAATCGTACGATGGAAGAACGGGAGAAGCACTGCTTTGAACTGAGTTTTACTTAGAATTATGGGATTCTTAAACTGTTCAGAGAGTGAGAAACAAGACTGTGTTGGACAAAAGCTTTAGTATATCTACCAAAACTTCTTTCAAGGGCTGGAGATGTGGCTCAGTGGTTAAAGCATTTGCCCTGCAAGCATAGGACCAGAGTTCAGATCCCCAGCACCCATGTAAGTGCCCGCCTGTAGTTCTAGACATGGAAGGCAGAGACAGACCCAGAGACAGGGGAGTCCCAGAACAAGCTGGCTAGCAAGACTAATCATACCAGAGAGCTCTGGGTTTGATTGAGAGACCCTGCCTCAGTGAATAAGGTGGAAGAGCAATGGAGGGTGATTCCTGAGGCCTCTATACGTACATGTGGACCCAGGCACATGCAAACCACACACACACACACACACACACACACACATACACCACACCACACCACACACCACACACACACAAAGACAAAACCAAAAACCTCTTTCAGGCCAGGCACGGTCCCACAGGCTTTTCATCCCAGTACTCTGGAGGCTGAGGCAGAAGTTTCTTAAGTTTTACTTCCTAGTGAGATCATGCCTCAAAGAACAAAAACAAAAGCAAACAAACAAAAAACCCAAACAAGCAAAACTCCAACTACCCTAAAATAAAAAAATTACAACACCAAAAATAAAAATTCCACAAATTAAATAATTGACAACTTACTTTTTATTGGTGATATTTATTGTAAATATTTCAAAGTAAACTAGTTCATAACTTTGTGACTGGTCAGGAAGATAATTATTATTTCACTAAATAAAATAAGAAAAATCTCAAAAAATAAGAGAATAAAGAAATTAATCACCTATGAGCCTATCACACAAAGAATTATTAATTCTTTAAAGCATTTATTTACAGGACTTTTTATTTGTTTATTTCAGTACTATTTATTTATAATGTTTAAGTTTAGCATGGAATGCTGTATTTCTATATATTTGTATAATTTTGTAAAACATTGCACAATTTTCCCTGACTTTTGATCACTGATAGTATGAGTATATTTATGCCATTTTGTTCATTTTTAAGAGCTTAATAATAAATAGTCTAGTGGCTACGTGGTATTTGCTTTATCATTATTTCAGAATGGAAAGTTTAGTTTCCTGACTTCAGAGTTTTGATGATGCTGGGTGAGCAGTTTCCATATTTCAAGTTCTTTCCCCGGAACTCTTTCCTAGAAAGACTTTTTCCAGGTTAATGGGTATAAACATTTTTACACTCCTGACATTTTGACACCCACCCCTGAAGCATCTTTATGATCCACAGTTCATGTTTAACCCAGTGCCTTCATCACTCTGATGGACAAATGACTGAGCCATGACCTCATGCTTCCTAGTCCTCTAGCTGGGGATTCCTTATTCAGTTCCTTGCATGGTGTTGGTGGAGGTGGGGAGATTGTGCCACTCTCCACAGCAATCCATCCATGTGGTTAGAGAGACTGAGAAAGCACAATTTCAGTTCTGTGGCAAGAAACAGGGCTGGAGAGCTCATTCATAGCACAGTTCTTAAGAAAAGGAACCAGCCAAGAATAGCCTTGAGTTGACACACTCCTCTCTCCTCCCGATCGTAAGGGAAACGGTTTCCCCACAAGGAGTCAGAACAGGTCACGAATTGAGACCCGAGACTACAGCTCTGAGACACTATTCTTGGATATCCTGAGCACGTGGTCACATGGGGCCCTGAATTGTGCAACATTCAGTATGACATTGCTATACTTAAAATTTTCCCACCTCACCCCCGGATTCCATTTCCCCATCTGCAAGGGCTGCTTATAAAGAGAAGAGGGGTATGGCTTCAGACATCAAAAGGACACAAGCAGCAGCCAGTACCAGTCCCTTCTCAACTCTACGGACAAGCCCACACTCCGTCACATTATGAAGGTCCCCACAGCTGCCTTTGCAATCCTTTTCTGCATCATGGCTCTCGGCTACCTGGTCTCCTCGGCACCATGTAAGTCCACACCACTACAGGAGGTGTCCCAACTCTGGTCTTGGGTAGACCACAGCAGTCTTTTCCTATGGCAGAGTCTGTAAGAGAAAAGAGAACTTCTAAAGGGCTATAAAACATCTTGATCTTTCTCTTCAAGGCTTTTATTTTCATCTTTGTGGGGTGGGACTGTCTTATCTTTTGCAGTCCCTTGATCTTGGAGTCGCAATGAAGGTAGAGGTGTCATCCATTTACCGGCCAGTCCTAGGATTTCTAAGGCGCTCTGTCTCTGAGATGTCTTAAGGGATAGCCCTTTCACTGAGGTCTGACTTCTTGTACCAGATGCAAGTGGCTGAAGAGATGGTGTAATAGCCGAGTCAGAGAGAAAGAGAGAGCAGGGAGGGTGTGAGAGAACAGCGAAGAGACAGAGGGAAAGAAGAACAGAGGCAGAAGAAGACAGGGCATTTCTGGACAACAATGTCCAAATGCCCTCAGGGATCTGGCCTCCCCACCCCCACCCCAAGCAAGCTGCCTTCTTCATCCTCTCATGGAGTCCTGTTGACTGGCTTGTCTTGTCCAACGATGACTTGAACTCATTCTGTCCTTTCCTCTTCAGATGGCGCCGACACTCCAACTGCCTGCTGCTTCTCCTACGGCCGGCAGATTCCACGCAAATTCATAGCTGACTATTTTGAGACGAGCAGCCTTTGCTCCCAGCCAGGTGTCATGTAAGCTCTGCTCTCCTGCTCACCCAGATGTGATCTTAGTGGTGTGGAAGCAAATGAGGGGTTCCTCAGCCAGAGGGAAGCGCCCATAAGAGGGAGGTGTAAGATCCTCAAAGAGGGGCAAGTGAGAGAGGCTATCTAGACTGACAGTCCCTGAGGATGGGTGGGATGGAGAGGCCACAGTGGACCTGACTTCCCTACAGGATTCCTCAGTTTTGACCCTTATCTTTCTCCACAGCTTCCTAACCAAGAGAGACCGGCAGGTCTGTGCTGACCCTAGAGAGACCTGGGTCCAGAAATATGTCGCTGACCTGGAGCTGGGTGCCGAAGAGGCCTAGAGGCAGTGAGGCACCCACAGACCGCCAACGGCCCACCTCCATAGCTCCCTCTCCTGCTGGTTGTTTGCTGTGAAATAGCCACACTCAAGGACTCTTTAATTTAATTTAATTTAATACTATTAATTTTATATTATTTAATTTTTGTAATTTATTTTTATTGTCACACTTGTGCTTGTGACTGTTTGCCCTCAAAGATCTCAGGATGCTTTCCCTCTCCACCCATCGCACTCCCCTTTGCCCACACTGTGTTTAGTGACAGCTGAGTGGCTGTCATCAGCTTATTCTAGATCGATATGGTAGCAAAGTCACAAACTGACAATATGCGATGGATGCTTTAGTCCTGTGCCATGTCCAGACAGAAGCAAAAATAAAGATGCTCATTTAAAAAGTGAACTGGCATTGAGTTTGGTTTTGTTTTTCTGGAAAATCAGAATCATTGGTTAAAAGGAGTGACAGCAAAGAATGGGAAAATGTGAACTAGAGGGTTTGAGGGTAACTGTGAGGGGCTTCACAGTGTTACTCTGCTCTGCACAGAAAGAATAGCTCTGCAATACTGAAATGGCAATTATTTTATGAGTCAACTCATAATGTGCCTACTCAAGGAAAACTCACCATTTGAATGGACATTGCCCAGTATTCAGTCGTGCATATTTTTGATAGACGAGACCTTCTTAAGAACAATCCATAATGGGTTTGAGGTTTATTCTAGACTGAATGCTTTGAATGCTTTTCATGCTTTGGCAGTTTGATCCTGTTATTATTGTTTGGATTTTGAGGGGTTGTTTTGTTTTGGGGGTATTTTTTGTTGTTTGTTTGTTTGTTTTTGCTTTGAGACAGAGTCTCACTATGCAGCTCCAGTTAGCCTGGGACTTGATATATAGACCAGGCTGGCCTCAAACTCATAAAGATCCACCTGCTTCTGCCTCCAGAATGCTGGGATTAAAGGCATGTGCCACCATACCTGGCCATGATTTGGATGGTAAATGTCTCCCCAAAGCTCATGCATTGATGGGTTCATCCCCAATACAGCAATGTTCAAAGCCTTTGGGAAGTGATTGGCCCATGAAGGTCCTGACCTCATGAATTGGTAAATCCATGTGTGGAGTTGTAATGTAATGGTTTTGGAGGGTGGTAAAAGCAAGATCTCTATTTCCTGGCTGCCGTGAAACTAGCAGCTCTACTTTACCATAGGTTTCTGCTCTGATGAGGCCTCACTACATCCTTAAAAGCAGCCAGGTCAATTCTGAAACCATGAGCCAGAATAAAGCTTTTCTCCTCTGAGTTGGGTTTCTCGGATATTTTGTCAGAGTCATGGAAAGCTGACTTAAACACCTCCCGGTGCAGTGTGCACCTTAGCATACACTATTAATAATCCCTATGAGACAGAAAAGTAAACCAGGACTCAGAAAGTTAAGCAGCTTGGCCAAGATCACAGAGTATAGATAGTATAACTGAGTTCCTGAATTTAGCTTTTATTTACAGACTGTTCTGTTAACCACAGATCAGGTTGTTTCCCCGTCAGTGGTGTCCCCATACTCAAACCATAGAAACAGTCATTTAAGCTGCTCACATTAGAATCCTCAGGACCAGACTGGGAACTAATGTTTCCATATTTATCAGGTGTTCCACATGCACCTTAGTGGCTAGGAGCCCCTTAACTAGTCGACAGGGGTCATTACTCTTCCCCAAATGTGGTATATATCTGTACATGGTAATATATGTACTCTATATGATTTCTGTAGAAACTGTGCTCTGCAAAATAAATGATTAAATTTGGTAAAGGAAAAGCCAGTTTCTATGTGGAGCATGCTTCTGTTTAGAGGTTTCCTGTGAACAGTAGTTTATTTAACAGATGAACTGGCTGATTGACAATTGTAAATATAAGAAACACAGTGAGCTATGGCTCTTTTTCTAGGAGGAGAAATCCAAATGATTTGCATGAAAATTGAACATTAATTTTTGTGAGCCATGATTTTTCATCTTACTCAAAACAATACAATTTTTTGTATCCAAAATTGTTTCAAATTATAGTGATCAAACTCTTTACAGACATTACTACAAGAAAAAGTTGAAATGCACATATTATTTGACCTGATCCCAGTTTTAGAGATCTGTTTCAATAAAATACTTTTGAGGGTAAGAATATATAGGACCAAGGATGTTCTTTGGAACACAGTTGGTAAAAAGCAAATGAGTGAAAATTATAACTAGCAGAGAGTCAAGTTAGTAGGAAATTAAGGTACCTTCCACAGTCAATATAAAAAGGGCTACACACATCTCTACCTATGACGCATGTCCATAACATTTCACACAAAATGTTTTTGGCTATTTACATTGAGTATATACATATATAGTCTATAGAACTATGCGTATAGAATATCTTTGCTTTTATTTCAAAAATGTATCCATCCATGTATATCCGCATAGGGAAACATTTAGAAAGATACATATCAAATATCTAACAACAGTTTCATTGAGTGAATCTGAAATATGATCACATCTTACCTCTATTTCCCCTCTGCAACTCCCCCTATGTCCTCCCAAACACATTCCCCAACTTTTTTTTGATAACTCATTAAGTCCAGTTAGTGCTGTTCATATGTGCATGGCTGTGGGGCCCTCCACTGGAGCGTGGGAAATCTACCAGTGACTGCATCCTCAAAAAAGAATGATTGCTTTTCTTCTTTCAACTATCCATGGCCAACAGCTTGTCATCAAGGGGCGGCACCTGAAGCACATCTACTGGAAATAGGGATTCTTCTATTTATTTTCTGCACTTTAAATTTTTTATTTATTTTCTAGTAAGTTTATATGCACACGTTTCTGCTCTCACCTCACCCTCTCCTTGATGGGAGATGTTACCTCCATTGGATTCACTTTCTGGTTCGGATTTTGAGTTGACAGAGAGGGGCCAGAGTTTGCCTGGCTTGTGGGGTTTTGATGTGATGATGCTTATTACATATGAGAACAAAGCAATGAGCAAGTGCTCCTGACGAATGTTCTACATGCCATATGAACACACACGAAACTTCTTCCATGCCACATGTGGCACCCCTGCCATTATGAGGCCCACTCCCCCATACCACTACTCACTGTAGCTATGAAGGTAGGTATCAAGAGAACAGATGTGTAGCATTTGTCCCCAAAGCAGTGAAGATGTCCCCTCTTCAGAAAACAGTGTTGGGTCATAAAAAATCTTGTACTCAATGAACTGTTTTGCAAGGTCTAAAGCCCCACAGCTAAGTGAGAAGTTTTATGGTAACCAACATTCTCTAAATGCACATGTGGGACATGGAGTAACCATATCTGAGACCCTTATTGGAGCAAAGGGAGAGGGATAATTATCATAGGCTCTTCTCAGCGTTGAGAGTGGACTGAGATCCCTGGCCAGCCTCTCTAGCAGCTCCCAGTGCTCCTACCTGGGGGGGGGGGATACCCTCCATGGAAACCTCTGGAGTACATACTAAGGAATGTCTGTTTTCTGGGGGCTGTCTACTACTTGTCTGAGGAGGTTGTGAGCCTGAGGTTTCCTCCAGTACTGAGTTAATCCACAGCTATTTAGGGCCAGTCTTGTGGTTTCCCCGCTGATGACAGTGGGCTTCTACTGTCTGCTTCCGATTGTTCCACGGGCAAGAAAACCCGAAGCACAGAAGTTGGCCAGTCATGTACTTTGCAGTTTCACTGGTGTTGAGAATGTCCACTTTCTAGCACAAGTCCCAATTGTCACCCCTACCCCCCAGGCCCTAATGGGAGCCCTTGGCTGGGATCCTATGGAATTAGGGGGCTATGTATGGAGGTAATGTTTAGCCCTGGGCCCAAAGCCACATTTCATAAAGAGGGAAGAGAACTCTTTCATAGGAAGGTGTGAGGACCAAAGAGTAAGGGCTGCAGCTGGACCCCAGGTACATCTCCCATATCTCTCATACTCCTGTCTCAGTTCGTAACGACTTTGTCTTACAGTGGAAAGTTCCACATTTACAACTCTGCAAGACTAAGATTACTAGGTTTTTACTCAACAGACTGGAAAACCTTTCTCAGCAAAGTTGTTTTATTCCCATTCTGATTATTTTCTAATAAGTCTATTTCAAAGTAACCTAAACCCTTTCTTAAAGGTCCTTACTGGTGGAGGCAAGAAGTAGCTGCTAAACTCCAGTATTCATATCAAAGTCCTTAATGCTACAACCTTAGTATTTGGCACAGTACCTAGCAACAAAATACACTAGGTCACAGTCCAACCATGAAACTGAGATAGGGTAGGTAGACTCCAGCCCTCCCTGAAGGTATTTAGCTGAGCCTGAACATATGATAAAGTTTGCTGGAAAAAGAATGGTAATTTCATGTGAAATCTTGTTTTGTCACTCTTTATCCCCCCCGCCGCCTTTAAAGAACCAAAGTTACTATGAGTGTGTCATTAGCTGCTTAATTGACAGACTCTTCCTCCACTCCTGCTTGCTGCAGCAACTGCCCAGGTAGGCAACTCCTCCAGGTTAAGCAGGGACAGCAGCCCAATAGAGAACTGCTACTGGAGCTGGCAAGATGGCTCAGTGGGTAAAGGCACCTGCGACCAAGACTCACCATCTGAGTTTGATCTCGGGGTCCCACAAGGTGGAAGGAGAGAATCAGTTCCAACAAGTTGTTCCCTAACCTGTGTGCACGTGTGTGTGTGTGTGTGTGTGTGTGTGTGTGTGTACACACGTGCACGCAGGACACATACATAAATGTTTTTAAAGAGAGAACCACTCCTGTCTCCTTGTCCCCAAGTTGACAGGGCTGTAAGTGACATTGTTGCCACCCTAAAGTTCCACTGAGGGTGACCAATACATCTTCAGCCTCCTACTTTTCCTGGAAATTATGGAGCTGACAATCAACTAGACATGTCTGCCCTAGTCAAAATAGCTGACCTGTGAGCTGTGACTGCTTTAAATGCTTCATGGCTGTCCAGGGAGGCACCACTCCAGCAGCCCACATTGGAGGAGACTGCAGTCCAGCTGCAGAAACTTCCACAGCTGTCATAGCCACTGCAGAAGCTGCTATTTCTGCTCTGGGGTCCATCACTTCATGGGGAGGTCTCTGTTTCAGTTACCACCACTCCAGATACCCTGCAATAGCTCCTCCAGATACCCTCCAATAACTACAGTAGAGATCACTTTGGCTCCAGCAGCCCAGCAGCTGCACATGACCCTGACTGTAGCTGCTCTGGATGCCTCTGTCCATCTTCAAGATGTCCTCAGTCAGAAGGGGAGAAGTGTGTGTTCATGACGGCTGGAGTAGGCAGGCCAGAACACCCACAGAAACTGGTGGGACTAAACTGGTGTCTGTGATTAGCAGACAGGCACCGTCCTTGTGCAGCTGGCTCTACAAGCAGCCCTCC